TGACGAGAATTACGCCAGATTTGTTGCGTTATAATTGATTTATCCGACCATAAAATATTCCTTAACTCTTTGCACACTGAAGAGAGTGAAAATAAATCTTGAGGTGATAAATTCTCACAGATTTCCGCCAATAATTCATTTGGAAGTATTAATAATTTGGAGTTTAGTTGAAGAGTGGTGTGATGTTTTAGTGGTAACTTAAAATTGGTACGAGATGAAGTGATATTTGAAAATATTGAAAGCATCGTAGAATTTAAAACGCTTTATAAATGATGAGAACAAGATGCGGGAGAAATTCGGGATAAAATTTTTTTTCAAAAGTAGAATGTGAAAGGAAAAAAAAAAAAAAAAAATGTAAAAGAAAAGAAAGAGAAAAAAAAATTCAACGAAGAAAATCCTAAAAAATTATTTTTTTTTTTTTTTTTTGAAAAAGGTGATCAGCTTTATATAAGAAAATTAGAGAATATTCGATTTACGATATTCTGAGTTTGAAATTAAAGCTTAGTACAAATATAGAATGTTTATAACTTAAATTCCGCCATTCTCTCATAATTACATATTACAAAAAGGAGTTCAGAAAAGAAACTTGGAAACTGGAAGGCTATCGATATATTTATTACATCATTGTAAAATGCCGAATCTTAGAATTTTTACTGCGCAAGTGAACTACGAATTAGAAATTCGAACTTCCGAATTCCGTGCGGAAAATACATGACCAATAAGAGTGATTCGATTTTTATTATAGAACTTTAAGAATGTTGTCGGAATGATTGATATACAGCAATGATAATAATAATAAACCTTCGATTCTTAAACAGTTCTTTGCCAAATCTCATCCTAGATTATCCCAAATGTCTAGCTGGTAAAATGAGAAATATGAAAGCACTATTCATAGGTTCTGGAAATTTTTTAAAATATTTTAAATATTTTGATTTAGTTTTTTGATGTTATTAGATTAAAAGAATAGTCTTGATTTTAGACAAAAGAATTCTCAGAACCCGATTTTCTTAGAAATCGTCCCATATATTAACACTTGACATTTTTTACCTTATTTAAACTCTCGGTTTGACTGAAATATTTCTTGTTCTCAGATAAATTGTCCATTCGCTGTGAAACTCCAATTCCAACTATAGAGTTCATTTATGAAAGATTCTTTTTAAGAATTCTTTAACTAAATCTGTCTCATTATCTAAATCTTCAACATTTTATTGATGATATTAAAGAAACTTCCAAATTTCGGTTTTACCAGAACCATTTGATTAGTAAGAGTTGCGAAGTCATGTGACTATGAAAACCCTAAACCTATCCCAACGAATATCTATTTGTTTTGTTCTTAATAAACAAGTTTGTAGAACATCATCAACAAGGCGACTAATCTCAAATCAAACAAACCGGATTATCTTTAAACTTTGTTGGGCAAGGAGATATTTTTTTTATATCTTGTCAATAATAGATTCTGTAAATTTTCGAACGTATCGATTATTACGTAGATTGATTTGTGATATGATGCCAATTTTTTTGCGGAGAAATCTTGAACTACTTGTTCTTAAAAAAAAGTTCTCCCTTTGATTCCTAAAATCTCTGTAATTTATCTTCTTTATGACCGGAACTGAAAAATAAAAAGGAGAGATTTCAAATTCTAAATTAATTAAAGATGAGAAAGTTTATATCCGTACAACGTAAATATTTGTCGACGCGTTCAAATAATTGAATATTCAGTGACAATTTTAATTGGTAATTTAACGAGAACCCTTTTTTTTTTTTTTTTTGTTTACGTTTGATTTGTAATAATTTAATATGGTAAATTTCAGACGCCTCAGGTTGAAATTTTTCACATTACTTTGTAACTAAGACAACAATGTATTAAAATGTGCGCACTGCATTTTTATTGCCATTTGCAGATTATTGAAATTATAGAAAACAGGTATATTATTGATGGTCACCTTTTGTGATTATGATGACAATATTAAAATTTATCATTTTTAAACCGTTCTACAAGTTCCGATAATTAACTAATTATGGTTCACATGAATTTATTCATGAATTTTTTGCCATAAAAAAAACGAACGTTACAATGATTTTATGAACCCTCCTCAAATTGCTGTGGGTGTAGAGAGATGAAAAAAAAAGATCAACCATGTTTAGTGGATCTTTTAATGCTTTATTGTAAAAAGCTAAACTGGTAATTAAATAGTTTTTTATAAATCTGCAAATGCCTGCAATGCACATAATACTTTTCTATTCAAGAAGAAATTAGTTAACCAAATTTAACGTAATTTGATCAACAAAATGCAGTGATGGTTTTGTGTTTCAATTAGAATATAGATGGTATAAATAAGATGCCAATTTTACCCTTTTAACTTTACGAATAAAAAATCGTCGAAAAAAATAAAATAAAATGTCTACTGATCATATGAACATCGATATCCATACTTATCAAGTACCTTCACGGCTTCTTGATTCTAAAAAATGTCCCAAACCTCATATTGATGCTATTGAAAAATACAAACAACTTTATGAAGAAAGTATTAAAGATCCTCAAACTTTCTGGGGAAGAGTAAGTATAATGTTGGTTCGCTATATCTTTTTAAAATTATATTTTATGACATTAAATAACATATAATTAATAGACCGCCAAAGAATTACTTCATTGGCACAAACCTTTCGAAACTGTTCTTACTGGTAGTGGGTTTGAATATGGTGACGTTGCTTGGTTCCGTGAAGGTGAATTAAACGCCTCCTACAACTGTGTTGATAGACACGCTCTTGTCAATCCAAAAAAGGTAATTTTAAATAACGCTAGGATATTTTTTTTTTTTTTTTGCACGTTGATTATCGTAACGCGTACCTAAAATTTTCCTCGTGTTGAAATTATTGTTATAATTAGACCGCGATTATATATGAAGCTGATGAACCTGGAAATTCTCGTCATATCACGTATGAAGAACTTTTACGTGACGTTTGTCGTCTCGCCATCACCTTAAAAGAATTAGGAATAAAGAAAGGTGACACGGTGGCCATTTACATGCCCATGGTTCCGGAAGCCGTAGTTGCTTTCTTGGCATGTGCGAGATTAGGTGCTGTTCATTCCGTTGTCTTCGCCGGATTCTCGTCTGATGCATTACGTGATCGTATTCAAGATGCTTCAAGTAGATTGGTTATTACATCTGATGAAGGAATGCGCGGTGGTAAAACCATTTCCACCAAAAAAATCGTTGATGACGCAGTAAAGGATTGTCCTACAATTGAACACGTCCTCGTATTCCGTCGTACCGGTTCGGATGTTCCATTTTCCGCCCCACGAGATTTATGGTGGCATGAGGAAATTGAAAAACATCGACCTTATTGTCCACCTGAAATCGTTAATGCAGAAGATCCTCTATTTTTACTTTATACCTCCGGGTCGACAGGAAAGCCTAAAGGAGTTCTTCATACTACGGCAGGATATTTATTGGGAGCGGCGATTACCTTTAAATATGTGTTTGATTATCATGAAAATGATATTTATGGTTGCATGGCAGATATTGGTTGGATCACAGGACACACCTATATCATTTATGGGCCACTTTTAAATGGAGGTACAACTGTTTTATTCGAATCCACCCCAGTTTATCCTACACCAAGTAGATATTGGGAAGTGGTTGCCAAGCATAAAATCACTCAATTTTATACCGCCCCAACTGCAATCAGGTTATTAAGAAGATATGGGAATGATTACGTTAAAGATCATGATCTATCAAGCCTTAGAATTATCGGTTCGGTAGGTGAACCAATTAACCCTGAAGCTTGGGAATGGTATTATGAGGTTGTTGGAAGGAAAGAATGTACTGTCGTGGATACTTATTGGCAAACAGAGACCGGTTCTATAATTATTACGCCTTTACCTGGTGCGACCGCAACGAAACCAGGTTCGGCTACTTTCCCATTCTTTGGAATTGACCCTGTCATATTGGATCCCACAACAGGAGAAGAAATCAAAGGAAATAATGCTGAAGGAGTTTTGGCGGTTAGACAGCCCTGGCCTTCAATGGCAAGGACCGTTTATAAAAATCATCATAGGTATTTAGATACTTATTTAAAACCTTTTAAAGGTTATTATTTCACAGGGGATGGGGTTGGTAGAGATAATGATGGTTATTATTGGATCAGAGGTCGTGTAGATGATGTTATAAACGTTAGTGGACATCGATTATCTACCGCTGAAATTGAATCTGCTTTGATCCTTCACCACGCTGTTGCGGAAGCTGCTGTGATTGGTGTTGCTGATGAATTAACGGGTCAATGCGTACACGCTTTTGCTACTCTTAAACCGAATGAAGAAAAAACTGATGTTAAAGATTTAATCTTACAAGTTAGAAAAGTTATTGGTCCATTTGCTGCTCCCAGGAAAATTTATATTGTTAATGATTTACCTAAAACTCGTAGTGGTAAAATTATGAGACGTATTCTTAGAAAAATTGTTTCTGGTGAAGCTGATCAACTAGGCGATTTAAGCACCATAAATAATCCTTCCATTATTCCCGTCCTAATTGAAAAGGTTAAAAGTAGTTAAAGGGTGTAACCCCCCCCCCCCCCTTCTTATTTGGGGAATCTGTTAAATTTGGATTTTTTGTATATTTATATTATTTATATTGAAAATATTTTTTTTTTACATGTTTTTATATGTTGAAACATTCATGTCAATAAAAAATTACAATCAAAGATACTTTGTAAATTTTTGATATTAGTTTGGTTTGATTTTTTTATTAAGTTCAATCTTTTTGCATAAATTAGTTTGACAAATGTGATGAAAAAAAATAAAGTACACTAATTATAAAATACAATACGAAAATTTCTTATTCTAATAAATTTCAAATTGTTAGTCTGGAAATTAAGAAAGGAAAAGAAAATTTTTATGTACAGTCATTCTAATTCAATTATGTTTCCTGACAAGTATTGAAAAAGAAATAACTTTCAATAAATCCGTCCATCGCTCACCTAAGGGGAAAAAACCTCCCGTCTCATTCATTATTATCTCCTTCTTCGGCCCAATTACCATATTCATCTTCTTCTATATCATCATCTAACAACAAAATATAATTGTCAGGTATTAGCCCAGTTTTTTCATCTAACTCCGCAAATAACCAACCCTCACATTGACGATATAGTATCAAAAGAATATCTCCTTCTTGAAAACTTAATTCGTTTTGATTTTCTGCCACAAAATCATATAATGCACGCGCACGCCTATTAGTATACTCATCATCTTCTTCTTCCCCATCTGATGATGATGGAATCCTTTGACCCCAATGTCGAGGATCATCTGTGGAAAACGCAAAGTCTCTAATTTTTATTTCGGGAAATTGGTTTTCACCCTCAATTGAGATGATGCTATATTCTAAGTGGATAAAAAGAATGTGAACTTAGTCAGGATTCAACTTGCAAATAAAAAAAAAAATGAAATTGCACAATAACAATAATTACCTTTTGCACACTAAAATCAATTGAATTAATTCCGTAAAAGAGATGAGAAACGTTAATGAATTGAACGATTAAAATTTGAAAAGAATAAAATTCAAATTACCGAACGAGGCCTTTTCTTTTGTGGTTCCCCTATTTCATCAACTTTACTTCCACCACCATAAAATTCGGCCAAAGTTTCCGAAATTTTACATAAAAGTTCTTTATCCATATCATCATCAAATCCTTTATTGTTTTTATCATTACAAGATTCATTAAAATTATCATTATTATTATTATTATTATTATTCTTATTATTTCTTATGCTACTATCTATACAGTTTTGACTATTTCCATTTGTTGTAACAGGTTGAATTTCTGTTCCATTTGATATTTCCATTGATTTTACTTCCGAGCCTTTTGTATCAATTGGTTGAGAAATAATATTATCATTATCATTATTGTTGTTGTTATTGTTGTTGTTGTTGTCATTAACATTACCATCATTATTATTTACTTTAATACCATTGTCGA